CACCATCTCTGTGAGTTAGAGGGCAGCCTGATCTACCTGAGGAGTTCCAGGACAGCAAGGACTCCATAATGAGACCTTGCTTCTTTCATAAATAAAAAAGTAAATAATTTGAAAAGAAAAAGAGGAAAGATAGGAGACAAGATCTCAGGTAACCCAAGTCATTGTGTGGATGGAGATGAACCTCTGATCCTTCTGACCCCACCTCCTAAGTGCTGGAACTACAGGGGTGCAACCACTGTGCTGGGTCTACATGGTGCTGGTTATCAACCAACTAGCGTTCTGTGCATGTTAGGCAAAGACACTACCCACTGAGCCACATCCACAGGCCTGATGGGAAATACTTCAGATTGAAACCTTAACAGAGCCGTATATGGTGCTTCATGGCCTAAAGCCCCTGCACATGGGAGGCAGAAGCAGGAGGATTATAAGTTCAAGGGCGGCCTGGGTTACACAGTGAATTGATGCCAGCCTAGGCAATTTAGTGAGATCCCGTCTCAAAATAAACAAAACCAAAACAAAATGAAATCATAACAGGACTAGACCCCTCATTCCCACTCTCGGCTCTTTGGAAGCACAATCTCTCTTGGCTTTAGAGAATGTCATTACCATCAACTGTCTCTCAAGTGGTAGTTTCCTGTTCTTCCTGGGTTGGCTTGGCCATGGGAAGATCCTGAAGAAAGTCCCGAGTTTGAATTTCTACTCCACAACCTGTCGGATCTGTGAATCTGCATTGCTTTCTAAGGGTATGTGAGTCCAGGCTGGCCCCAGCCTTCCTTGTTGCTGGTACCATCGCTGCTTTGGCCAGCGAAGGAGGGCAGAAGTATCAGCGCGAGGTTTCTGAGGCTCTTCCAAAGTTGTGTCCTGGGACATTCCTGCTACAGCCCTGGGCCGCCATAGGAGAAGCCTGACTATCAAAAGGCAGCCATGGGCTGGAGAGATGGCTCAGCGGTTAAGAGCATTGCCTGCTCTTCCAAAGGTCCTGAGTTCAATTCCCAGCAACCACATGGTGGCTCGCAACCACATGGTGGCTCACAACCATCTGTAATGAGGTCTGGTGCCCTCTTCTGGCCTGCAGACTTACACACAGACAGAATATTGTATACATAATAATAAATAAATGTAAAAAAAAAAAGAGGCAGCCATGTTGTAATGGAGCCCAAGTCACAGTGTTCTGGTCAACCTACAGTATCTTTTCAGCCCAGAAGACAAACAAACATGATGCAGCCTATAATGATTGATGTTGATGGTCTACTTGACAGCACCTAGAGTCGTTAAGGAATATCTTGTCCTTGTGTGTCTGTCTGTAAGGAAGGTGGGAAGAGACCCCTGACTATGGGTGACACCATCCCATGGATTTGTGTCTTATACTGAACAACACAGGAGAAAGTGAGCTGAGCACCAGCATCCTTCTCTCCCAGCTTCCTGACCGTGGATGCCATGGGACCAGCTGCCCCTCCCCCCCCACTCCTGTAACTATGTCTTCCTGACCATGATGGGCTGTATTCTCAGTCTGTGAATCCAAATCAACCCGTCTTCCTTCCTGAAATTCTATTTTCTCACACCAGTGAGAAAAGTAGCTAGTTCATACTCCCAGGTGGTCTCTGCTTCCCGTGGGAGGTTTTGAGCTTAGGCCCGCTTTCTTCTCTAAGCCCCTTCTGACTTTCTAACTCACAGCCCCTGTAGACACCCCAGGGCTGTGAGTTGATTCTATCTGTCTGTCTATTTGAGATAGGATGGGCTTGAACTCTCAATCCTCAGTCAACGGGGTTCTGGGAATTGTAGAATGGTTCTTTACAAAACCATAAACCATTGCCAAAGCAATGATACTGTTTTTTTCTTTTTACATCTGTTTATTTTGTGTGCATGTGTGATAGAGATGGGAAGACAACCGTGGGAGTCAGTTCTCTCCTCTCACGATGTGGGTCCCATGACTTGAACTCAGGTCATCAGGCTTGGTGGCAAGCACCTTTACCTGGTGAGCCATCTCTTCATCCCCGAAAGCAGTGACATCTGCGTATGATCTGTGAGGGGTCTGGATGTACAGATGTTCTCCATCCCCCAGGTCTCTGAGGCCCTGCATAGGTTGATCGTGCAGTTGGATATACCCAGGTTCTAGTCCTTATGTGACTACAGATCTTTCTTTCTTTATGTATAACATGGATGAGGTCATTTGTCACCGTGTAGGGTTGCTAGGGAGTTCAGAGAGGCATCTGCCTATGGAGGTTCCGTATAAACCTAATCGGAAAATTGCTCGCCTCGCTTCCTAATGCCCTGGGTTTGAACTCCAACCGTGTATAACCCAGGTGTGGTTGCACACACCTAAATCCCAGCACCCAGGAGGTGGAGGCAGGAGGATCAAGAGTTCAGGGCCATCCTCAGCTACTGGGAGGCCATGATACTGGAAGTCCTGACAAAACAAACAAATGAGTAAGAAGTCCTGGCTGCAGATCCCGTGTGGTGTTTTTGGTGGTCAATGGTAGGAGACAAGATTGCCTATGGCCATATGATCCTTACAGTCTGAACGCGACACTCTCCTGCCCCAGGCCTCCATGTTTGAACGCTCATTCTCCATCAGGAAGCGATGTTTGGGGAGGTTCTCAGACTTTCAGAAGGTGGGGTTCATCTGAAGAAAGCCATCATAGGAGTGGGCCTTGAAGGTTATGCCAGGACGGTGCGTCCGGTTTTGCTGTCTCCACTCCCTGGCCCACCACAGTGTGAGGACAGGTCCCATCAGCCTGATGGACTGGACCCCTCTGAAATCCTGGGCCAAATGTTCCTGCCATACCTTCTGTCATGAAGACATGAGACTAATACAATCTCGTACCAAGATGAACAAGTCTCAGGTTTCTCACACTTAACCCCTCTGCTCCATGCCTATCTTGAGGGCGAGGCAGATGCAAACTGTGTTCACTGTGGCCTGCCTTTCTGGGGAAGGATGACTCCTTGGACATCCCTGTCCTTCATTCCCAACAATGAACCATGGTTTCCTTGGGACCACCACCATGGCTCAGGGGACACAGTGGGCTGCTTCCACAGTAAATACCCCAAAGTCATGAATGGTCATGTTTCTGACCCCGTGATAGTTAGGTTTAATTGCAAACTTGACACAGCTTAGAATCCTCTAAAAGCAAAGCCTCGGTTGAGTAATTGTCTTGATTGGGTTTGCCATGAACGTGTCTATAAGGGATTATCTTCATTATTAATTGATGGACGAGGGCCCAGCCACTGCGGGTGGCACTATGCCCTAGGCAGGTGGTTACGTGAAAAGTGATATAACTGCTGTGCTGGAGAGAGGTGGTTCAGTGGTGAAGAGCCCATGCAGCTCTTCTAGGGGGCCCGAGGCCAGACTCCCAGAACTCATATAGTTGGTTCACAACCTCCTGTATCTCCTGCCATCTTCTGACCTTTGTGGGTTCTAATAAACATCCCAGACACACAGGCACTATCTGTCCTCTCTCTATCTATCTATCTATCTATCTATCTATCTATCTATCTATCTATCTATCTCCCAGTTCCTGGCTTGAGTTCCTGTCCTGACCTCTCTTGATGATGGATTGTGACCTGAAAGTATCAGATTAGACAAACCCTTTCCTCCCCTGGTTGGTTTTTATCAACGTGTTTCTATCACAGCCTCAGAAAGGAAACTCTGAGCTCCAGATCTGTCCTATGTTCAGAGAAGACATCTCCCATAGTCCTGGGCTGCCCCTGGGAAGCACCTGGGCTCCTCATCCACCTGAACCGGACTAGGAGTCAAAGACTAGATCTTGCAAAGAGCTTCTCCCACACAACAGTTTGTATCCAGGTAGAACCCCAACTTACAGCCTAATAGTCTTCCTTTTTTTTTCTTTCTCTCCTGACCTTCCTCTCATCCCAAAGGACATGGCTGCTCACCTCCGTCAACTTCTAATTCCCAGGCAATGTTTTGAGGACAGCTGGAGAGCCCTCTGCTTTTCCCCGAAGCCCCTGGTGTTGCTTCCTTCCCAGCTGCCCCCCTATCCTCACCAAGAAGCTTCCTCTCATTAGAACAGGCAGCAAAGCCTTTAAAACCAGAAGAATGTCTCCCAGAATGCCTCACACCTGCTTTATGGCTGTGGCCACACAAGGGTGAGCCAAGTCAGGGCATACACACTACAGAAACACGCAAGGGGAGTCTGTTCAAAGGACCTGTGGCTCCAGACATCCTGCCGTAAAAATAGCTGTGGGCTGATGGCTTCAAGGGGGAAGGGGCAGGGGCGGTTTACATCATTTGAGCTCCTGAGGGAGTCTAAACCAGAAGAGATGGCAGTTGATGCCAGGCCTGGGAACTCTTCTCTGGGTTCCTTGTGGGATGGTGTGTGTGTGTGTGTGTGTGTGCAAGTGCATGTATTCCTCAGTAATTCTACATCCTATTTTTCGAGGCAGGCTCTCTCCCTTGGCCTGTAGCTTGCTGATCAGCCTGGCTACCTGTCCAGCAAGTCCGAGGCTCTGCCCGTCTCTGTTTTCCCGGCTGGGATTGTGAGAATGCTCCCATATGCCTGGTTTGTGTGGGGATCAAACCCAGACTGAGTCATCTCCCCAGCCCTGTATTTATTGCTGTGGTTTGTATTTTGAGGCAGGGTCTTGCAATGTCACCTAGGCTGGCTTTGAACCCCCGATCGCCCTGCTTCCTTGGACCCTGGAGGCTTCTCTTTCATTATCTATGTCTCCCCATTTAAACATGACCCCTCATGCTTTGTAACTTCACACCTTTGTTGATGTGCTAGAACATTCAAAAACTTGCCTTTTCTTTCTAAGCCCACAAACGAAACTCACCATGTCCTCAGTATTCTAGGCCCAGTGTGGGGACATCCTCCCAGGGAAGCCCCTCTGAGTGAGTTCTCTGGTTCGGTTACTCTCAGAGCCACACTGGTGTTATTCACCCGAGGGCTTGGTGACTCAGAAAGTCCTCAACAAATATTTAATGCTTGGATAAACTCCATAGGCACCGTCTAACTAGGTCACTAAAATGTTCCCAATCTTAGGGTCATTGAGCGTGAGTTCCAGCCCAGCAGTCCGTGCAGATGCTCAACTGAATTGCTGAGAAGACAAGCTTGGGAAATGCGCTCCCTGTCGCAGCGGGTGAGCAAGGAGAGCCCGCTTGAAAGAAAGTCCCCAAGGGCGCTGTGCCGGTTGCTTTTCTCCCCAGGGTGACACCGTTTGGAGAGGAAAGATTGATTATGCCTCAGAGATTCAGGGGACGCAGGTCCATCAGGGCAGGAAGGCATGGTACGCGGACTGGCTCTTCATGAGGTGGAAACTTGTAAGGGGATCCTCTCACGTGGCACCAGACAGGAATCAGAGAGCCAGATAGGGTGAGGTAATTCCAGCACTCGAGAGGTTAGGAGGTCAAGTCATCCTTGGTTACAAAGCAAGTTCAAAGATAGCCTGAGCCACATGAGTTTGGCCCGTGGGCCTGTTCTGGTTTCCTCTCAGTTTCTGGTACCAACTTGGGGAGGAAAGGGGCTGTTTGGCTTACATTTCCAGGTCACAGTTTATCAACGAAGGAAGTCAGGGCAGCAAACTGAAGCAGAAACCATGGAGAAGGATGCTTGCTTGCTAACTCACAGGTTCATGTTCATCCAGTGATCTTATACAGCCCAGGTTCACCTACCCAGGAAATGGTTCCACCTGCAGTGGGCTGGGTGCTCCTACATCATTTCATAGCCAAGACAAATCTCTACAGACTTGTTCTCATCCAATCTGATCTATGCAGTTCCTCAACTATGACTCTAGGATGTGTCACACTGACTGTTAAAGGACACCAAAAGTAAACAGTAACAAAAGGAAGCCGAGGGCGTGGCTCAGTGGTAGAGCCCCTGCCTAGAATCCCCCAGTGAGGGGCTGGGGTGTGGCTCAGTGGTAGAGCCCCTGCCTAGAATTCCCCAGTGAGGGGCTGGGGCGTGGCTCAGTGGTAGAGCCCCTGCCTAGAATCCCCCAGTGAGGGGCTGGGGTGTGGCTCAGTGGAAGCGAGATCTCTTTAACTGTTAACATCCTCCTTCCCTTCTGTCCTTGGCACAGTTAGCTTTACCCTCAACAGCCAGGCTCCATACCCCAGTGCTTCCACAACCTTCCAAACAGCTTTGCACACACTGAGGCCCCAATAATAGCAGACTCAGATGGGTTCCTTAGGCTCATTGGCTCTTGCAGAGCAGAAAGTCTGCCGGACAATTGACATATGGAAGGCTGTGTGTGAATAGCGCCCTGGAAGCCCAGCATGCTGCTACAGAGCTGTATCCCCAGTCTTTCTCCTCCTCCCCTTCTCTTCCCTCCTCTCCTAGTCTTCCTTTTCTTTTTTCACCTTGAGACAACATCTCACTAACTCAGGCTGCCCTGGCACGGAACTCACTATGCAGCTTAAGCTGGTCTTGAACTCAGTCTTCTAATGCCATGGCAGGTGTGTGCCAAGCACGGCAGGAAGATTTTTAGCATGGGGGGCGCTGGCTGAGGTTGAGGGTGGGGAGACTAGGGTCGCTTGTTGATGGCAGGGAATTAGGAGATAATTCAGTGTTTGCCAAGCAAACACGAGACTTCAGTTGGATCCCCAGCACTGATAGGTCTGGACGAGCAGAGACAGGAGGCTCTCTGGGCTCGTTGGCCATCTTGCCTAGTCCAGTTGGCCAGTTCAAGGCCAGTGTGTGACTGTTTCAAAAATAATAGGTGGTCAGCTCCTGAGGAACCCTCACAGTTGATGTCTGGTGTCTGGTATACAGACACACACACAGAGGCACGCGTGCGCACACACACACACATACACATGCGCGTGCGCACACGTGCACAAGGGAGCAGGCATGGAGGAAGAGTTGAAAGGAGGAATCACCTGTTCCAACTGGCCTCGGTGTGGTCTGAAAAACACCTGTCTCTTTCCGGGCAGACATCCCCGGACACCTCACTGTACTCTCTGGCATTTGCAGGGCTCCAGCTAGGATGGAGCTTCGCTGTTATTCCCAATGGCACTCCCGTGGGCAGCCTGTGATCACTCTGCTTGCTCAGAGCTGTCCTGGGCTTTTCAAAGTTAGAGGCCAGATGCAGTCATCGTCCCCCTCATGGATCCCAGAGCCAAGAGGAGCCAGGGTTAGGCTTATGGCCCGGCGAGGAAAGACAGTACCCCGTGGCTGGCACAGAGAGCAGCCACCTGCGCCATGTGTGCCCTCAGAAAGGAACCAGCACCTGCTGCAGTCACACGGCCTGTCTACCCACCCATCAGTCTATTGTGGGCAAAGCTTAGATTCCAGGGCTTCTTCCATAGCCAGGGTCACCTTCAGCGGGCCAAGCCTACTGAGGGCCTGTGGAGTATGAGGTGGCTCTTCTGGGGTTCTCTGATGATGCCATGGAAGGACCTGGCCAGTATAGGTGAAAACCCAGCGAGGAACGGAAATGTGACTCAATGTTAGAACACTTGCTTAGAACCCCAGCCAGGGGAGAGGGCGTGAATCTGCAGGAGAGGACCTGCCTACAGCTCCCCACAAAAGGATGGAAGCATGGCTCAGTGGTAGAGCCCCTGCCTAGAATCCCCCAGTGAGGGGCTGGGGTGTGGCTCAGTGGTAGAGCACCTGCCTAGAATCCCCCAGTGAGGGACTGGGGTATGGACCAGTGGTAGAGTCTCTGCCTAGAATCCCCCAGTGAGAGGCTGGAGGTGGGGAACGCCATAGAAAGTGAACAGAATCTGCTTTAGTCCCAGAAGATTAAGATACAGGCACGAGGAGAGGGTTGTTTATATGGATAGAATCTTCTAGAAGTTTCTTTATGAATCTGTTTGAGAGGGCCTCTCTCCTTAGCTCACCTCCTTTTACCAGCCATACCAGTTGTGAGGATGTGACTATGTGACTTGGCCCACCGGTCCCTCAATTTCCTCACCTGGCGAGTGGGTTAAAGTTTGACTCTGGTGGGGTATGGTAGCTCCTGCCTTTAATCCTAGCATTTGGCAGACAGAGGCAGGCAGTTGGTGCTCTGTGAGTTCAAGGACAGCCTGGTCTACATTGTGAGTTTCAGGACAGCCAGAACTACACAACGAGACTCTGTTGAAGGAAAGAAAAGAAAGAAAAAGAAAAGAAAAGAAAAGAAAAGAAAAGAAAAGAAAAGAAAAGAAGGATTAACTCTGTCTCCGAAGATCTGTTTTAGAGCCTGGTGTGACCTCCGGGTTTATAAATATCAGGCACTCTTCATTTGATTAGTATCATATTCTCTCCTCTCAAGGCAGGGATCAGCCGTACCAGGGCCTGCAGGCTTGAGGCCAGCTCCGGGGACAGCTAAGCTCTCCAGCTCTTGGGGACCTGGCAGCCAATCACATGTGGTTTCCCCACTCAGCAGCCAACTCGGCTAGCTGGAGTGGGGCTGCCTTTGAGAGTGAGCGGGGGCCACCAGGGCCACACTGGACACCTGAGGAGGCTGCTGGCAGCAGGTGTGAGCTCTGCTTGGCTCAGGGGGAGAATTCTTGGACAGAGCCTCATCCGGGAGATGGGTTTGTATGCGTGTGTGAATAAGTCTTTGTGATGCTCCCTCATCAGGGCCAACTACGCGCTTCTTTTGTTCTCTCTGTAGTAGTGTTCTTTCTCAACACTACTCTGTGTGTTTTCTTTTGTGCCCTCGCCCCACCCTGTGTGTGCGCGTGTATTGTACTAAGGATTGAATCTAGTACATGCTAAGCAAGTCTTCTACCATTGAGCCACACCCCTAGCCCCTCACTGGGGGATTCTAGGAAGGGTTTGTCTGCTGAGCCACGCCCCCAGCTCTCACTGGGGATTCTACACAAGTGCTTCAGGGATGAAGTACCTTTCTAGTTGCCCTTTCATTGTTTTGGGACAAGATCTCATGTAGCCCAGACTGGCCTTGGATTTGCAATACAGCCATGACGACCTTAAACTCTTGATCTTCCCGCCTTCACCTCGCTCTGCTGGAGTCACAGACATGCACTAGCCCTCCTAGCTTCACTTCGTACATTTTCAGGTTCTGAAGAGGGAGGGACCTGGGCCAGGGTGGATGAGGATGGCCCTCAAGCCCCAGAGCAATGTGGAGCCACCTTTTCTGCATGTGCAGATTCAACCAAATGTGTTCAGAAGTTTTAGGCAAGGATAAAAGGTGTGGACAGGAGGGAAATCTTTGCCTGCATCTGAAGCTTGTGAGTTCGATCCCCAGCACCAGACATTAATCAGTCAATCAATATATCACACAGAAGTACCTAGCTTCTATGCTAATAACACATCCTCTATATAAAGGATTTGAGTATCTGTAGATTTGGGGGGTATGAGGTCCTAGAATTCCAAAGGGTGACTGCAGTCATGTGGGTTGAGAGACCCTGGGGGACCACACCAGACCATACTACAGGTAGCAACATCACAACCTCTCCCATCATGCCTACGAGAGGGCTGAGCATCCCAGAGGATGGTGTCTCACACAGAACCCTGAAGCTCACGAGTGAGTGTCTGGTACCAGCTGGGGCGGTGCCTATACTTCCAGAAGCTCTTCTGACCCTCCTGGGTCCAACTGGTCCCTGGCATTGATATATCCTTCATGTCCTTGGCCACCTGCCCCCTTCCTGGTCCATGGTCTGTTGCTGAGAGAGAAAACAGTTGGCTTAGTGATGTCGGAGATCCCCATGGCTTAGACAGTCTCCACACTGGTGGCCTCTGCCACCCACTCCCCACAGCCCCAGGGAGATGCCTGGCTTGAATGCCCCTCATCCTGTCCTTGGTCACCTTCCAACCTGTTGTCTAGGGCTGGAACAGTGCCTGGCTTGGAGGTGCACTATTTAAAGAGCCACCCGAGTCGCCTTGTCTCCAGATCTGCTGCAGCACTCAAAAGCACACCAGACCATGGTAGGCTGGGGCCACCTTCCCTGCACAGTCCCCATGGGGCTCAGCACCTCAGCTTTGGTCCCCTTCCTGCTTCCCTCCCAGCTCCAACCTCAGTCCTGGCCTCCTTGCTCAACTCTAGTCTCATCTTTGGGAGCTTGACTTTGTGTATAATTCCGAGCTTTTCTTTTTCAATTTTCACCTTGTTGCTTTCAGTGGTTCCCTCAACTGGCAGCTACGGGCGGACTGACTTTGATCCTCAAACTTGGCCGATCCTATGTTACCTCTGTTGGGTGACAGTGTCTGGGGTGTCCAGTTTCATCTGTGTGGCTTCTTTTTGTATGTGGTGTGTGTTTACATGTGTTCTCATGTGTGCAACTGTGCGTGCACCCATGTGTAAAGGTCAGAAGTCGCCTCCAGTGTTGTTCCTTAGGTTCATTCATCTTGTTTTTGAGACAGGGTCTCTTACTCTTAGCTGGAGATTACCAATTGGGTGAGGATAGCTGCCCTGTGAGGTCAAAGGATCCTGTTCCCTTTCTGCCAGCACTGCACGGCTTCTGGTTCTCACACATGCAAGACAGTCACTCCTCAGAGTTAGCTGTTTCCCAGCCTCTCATCCACGCGGGTTCTGACTTGGTGATGTTCTTTAATTCCACAAGGATGGAAGTTGGGGGATAAGGAAGAGAAATGTGGACAGGGATCAGTGCCCTGGTCTTACTGGCTTCATAGACTGTAGGGTTCCTGCTGTCTGCTGGGCAGAGGCTCAGATTGCAGTAGGCTGGAGGTGTGGGTCTCTCTCAGGCCCTGTGACTGTCCCCTGCCCCTGTGACTCAGCATCTGTCCTTCCTTCCATCACCTCTTATTAATGGCCTACCTCCTATGGGACTATAAGCTCTTTGGAGACAAGAAAGGGGGTTGATTCCTCTCAGGGTCCTGGGGACCAGACCCAGGCTTTGACTGGAGGTTGGCAGGTGTCTTATAATCATTCTGATGTTTTGAAGTTGGCATTGTTCTTGGTTTTATAAGTAAAGGCATTCTGGGGTGTGGCTTAGTTCAGCATCCCTGAGGTTTTGTGCTCCATCCTCAGCACCACACCAACTGGGCACGGTGACACATGCCTGTCATCCCAGCACTTGGGCGGGGGAGACATAAGGATCAGAACTTCAAGGTCATCTTTTGCTACATGATGAGTTTGAAGCCAGCCTGGGCTTCATGAGACTCTGTGTACATAAAAATAAAAAGTTAATATAAGTAGGGAAGTGGAGACTTATAGAATGTAAGTGTCTTATGTACGCTGGTGCACCTGTGCGCATGTGCAGAGAGGACATCAGGTGTCCTGTTCTGCCCCTCTCCACCACATCCCCTTGAGACAGGACCTCTCACTGAACCTGGAGTTTGTCCAGCCTCAGCAGTCTCTTGTCTCCGCCTCCCCTAGCATTGGAGTTCCAAGTGTGTGGTCAAATGCACCTGGCTTTCCATGTGACTTGGGAGGATTTGAACTCAGGTCTTCCTGCATCTCCAGGAAGCACGCTTACCCACTAACCCATTGCCCCAACCATGTTAACTGAGGTCTGGGTGACCCTGACTTCTTGGGAATGTTCCCTTTGAGCGTAAACTTTCAAAGGTGTATATGAACTTAAACTTCCAAGCCAGATAAAAGAAGCTTTGCCTTGCAGAGCTCTAGGCCCCAGGAGGGTCTGTGACCAGGTGGACTTGGAAGGCCAGGGTGGAGAAGGCATACAGAGGTGTGTGTGTCTGTGTGTGTCTCTGTGTGTGTCTGTGTCTCTCTGTGTGTGTCTTTGTGTGCCTGTGTGTGTGTCTGGTATGTCTGTGTGTGTCTTTGTGTGTGTGTGTCTGTGTCCTTCTCTCTTTCTGTTTCTTTGTGTATGTGCCTCTGTGTGTGTCTCTGTATGTCTGTGTGTCTGTGTCTCTCTGTGTGTATGTGTGTCTGTGTGTCTGTGTCCTTCTCTCGCTCTCTGTTTCTTTGTGTATGTAACTGGGTGTGTGTACCTGTGTGTGTGTCTCTGTATGTCTGTGTGTCTGTGTGTCTGTGTGTCCGGGGGGTGGCTCGCAGTCCTGAGGATGAGTAGAATGTCCTGCTGATGGAAGTGATCATATTTTATTAATCAGAGGGAAGTGAATATGTAATTATGTGAGATGAACTCCACAGGGGAGTTCTTTTCTTTATGATATCTGAAGGAATTTATAAATATTTCCTAGGCTTACAGCATCCCACGTGTGGCCTCTTTGCCAGGCACCCCCTGTTTCAAAGGATTATTCGAGATTAGCACCCAGTAAAAGCTGATTATAAGCCACTGGGTTGTTGCTCCTGACTTGTGCCCAGAGTGGAGCTGGGGGACCACACAGGCGCTAGGGTGGCAGAAGGGACGCTGCAGAAACCCCAACTAGGTGGATAGATAATGCTTAGAGGAGGAGTGGGCTGCTGGGGGAGGGGTGGCGCCCAGACCCGTGTTCCTCTCTGACATCAGGGGTCAGGGGCTAGGGAGAACTGTGTTGGTAGCGTGCTTGCTCTGTGAACATGAGGTCCCGAGTTTGACCCCCAGAACCCAGGTGGAAAAGAAAATGTTGGATGCGATGACATGGGCTCGCAATCCCAGCGCTGGAGAGAGGTAACAGCACTGGAGAAACAGAGATGGGGGGTCCCTGGGGCTCAAAGACCAGCCACCCTAGCTGAGTAGCTAAACTCTGGCCAATGAGCGATCCTGTCTCAAAAATATAATTGAGAGGCGGCTTGGCAAGTAAAGGGTGCTTGCAGCCAAGTCTGATGACCCTGATGGTCCTGGTGCCCACACAGTGGAAGAAGAGAGAGTGCTGATTCCTGAAAGCTGACCTCTGACCTCCACACACACTATGGCACGTGCCCACACACATCACAGTACACATCTCATTCTGGGGTGACAGGAGCAGATGTTGGGGTTAGAAGGCGTCTCAAAGTGGGTTTGGGGTGGGGAAAGGACCCAGGTGAGTGGCTGGGGAGCTGTGAGATCCTGTCCAGGATGAATCTTGCAGGACCAAGAGCCTAGACAGTGTGCTGAGAATATTCTGGAAGTTTTTACGACTAGACAAGGCCAGATTCCAGCAGAGTCGGGGGTTATGGGAGTGAGCTCAGGAAACTCCACAGAAGGTCTGAGGACAGAAAGTGCTCATTTGCATCTGCCTCCTTTGACAGCCTGGACGTGGGTGGGTGACTGGGGGAGGAGCAGTGGCCCCACCCTGCTCAGTGGACACTCTGTAGACTTCTTGCCTGAGCTGAGAAGGTGAGACTAATGTGCTTGTTACTCCTCTCATACTGGGACAAAATGCATGACAAAAGCAAGCTAAAGGAGGCAGGTTTTTTTTTTGGCTCCCAGTTTGAGGATACAGTCTGTCACTAGGTGGGGTTGTCATGGCAACAGGAGCATGAGGCAGCTGGTCACGCTGCATCTGCAGTCAGAAAAAAGACAGGTGAATGCTGGTGCTCAGTTCAGGACCCCAGGCCGTGGGATGATGCCACCCACATTTAGGGTGGGGCTTCTCACCTCCATTAACTAGTCTAGAAACTGCCTCACAGACATGCCCAGGGTTTGTCTCCATAGTGACCCTAGGCCCTGTCAGGTTGACAGTCATTAGCTGTCACAACTAATTGTGAAACTCGGTGCCCCGCTCCAGCCGGCTGCTGTGTGAACAGGGAAGAAGGACGGTGGTACCTGGACCATGGTGTTCTGGGACCCGTGACTGCTGACCTCTGGAGGAAGCAATGGCCACAAGGATTCACCTCTTCTCCACAGGCACCCAGAAGAGCCCGGAAAAGAGCAGAAGGCACAGCCAGTTCCAATGTCTTCTCGATGTTCGACCAGTCCCAGATTCAGGAGTTTAAAGAGGTTGGTCAGTGGCCCTGGGGACATTGGGCACCTGTATTCGCTACTTTCTTTCTCCAGCCACGACATGCCTGGAAAAAGCAACTTAAGGAAGGAAGGGCTAGCTCCTGCTCACAGCCTGAGGGTACTGTCGGTCAGGGTTGCGGAAGGTGTGGCGGCAGGAACGTTAGCTGCTCACACAGCGTTCAGTCAGAAAGCAGAGAGAGATGAAGGCTGGTGCCCTGCTTGTTTCTCCTTTTCATTCAGTGAGAAACCCTGCCGGCCCAAGAGAAGGTGCTGTCCTCACTTAAGGTGGGCTTTCCCTCCTGAGTTAACCCAGTCTAGAAAACCCCTCACAGACGCGCCCAGAGGTGTTTCCAAGGTGATCCTAAATCTAGTCAAGTCGTCAAAAACAGAGACGAACCATCATAGAGGATTACTGGGATTCTCAGAGGTTGTCCACAGTGACTGCCCACGCTGTTATCATTCTTCAAGGTCTTCGTGGCTGCCTGCCCACACTGTTATCATTCTTCAAGGTCTTCGTGGCTGCCTTTGCGCCTGCGGAGGTGGCTCGCTGCTCTCTACCTTCCCTTTCTGAGCCTCGATTTCCCTCCCCAAGCTTCAGTTTCCCTCGCTGAGCCTCGGTTTCCCTCTCTGAGTCACTGTGCTCTTGAAATGAGACAAGGAGTGTGGAGTCCTAAAGCACTTAGGGTAGAGGCTGAGAGAGGGTGGACTACAGTTCCCAGGATGCTGTGCGCACTCAACTATGTTGGGGCTCTGAGAAGCTGGGGGCTCCTCATTGAGGGTCCTCCTGTCGTGGATCTGGAGAGAAGGGGTGGGACTGGCTGGTCTGGGTTGGCCCTAGTGGCTCACGGTCCACGTCTTCATTAGGCCTTCACTATCATGGACCAGAACCGGGATGGCTTCATCGACAAGGAGGACCTGAGGGACACCTTCGCCGCACTGGGTGGGTAAAGCGGAAGCTGAGGCAGTTTGGGACCTTGGGTTTTAGAGGGAGCTAATGGTAAGCCAAAGCAGCCACAGAGAGGGGCACAGCGGAGGGGAAGGTTTCCACGGGGCAGGAGGACTTGGTGGCTAGGGAGGACAGCACGAGATAATTTCTGACAGTGTGCAAAGGCCCTGGGGCACTGAGAGGATGTAAGGCTGCGGTAGGACGTGTCTGTAACCCCAAAACTCGCACACCAAGGCAGGTGGAGTTCGGGTTCACGGGTAGCCTGGACTACTTGGCCAAACACTGACTCAAAATAAAATAGTAGCGAGCTGGGGTTGGGGAAAACCTGGAGCTGATTATCTAAGGTACCAATATGGGTGGAGTTTTGAGGTCCTGGGAACCTGGGTGCCCACTGGGACCACGCAGAATCCAGGGTTCCCATGTCCAGGAATGCATGAGACCGGAGGCTCCCTACGCACTCCCGCTTCTACTTCTTCCAGCCGCGGTTTGCTTGTCTGCTCATTTGCTGTTGTGCTAGTCTGTGAACAGGAGATGCAGAGTGGCTCCCTCTGCTTTCTGGGAAGATGGATGGATGGATGGATGGATGGATGGACGGACGGACGGACGGATGGACGTATGGACGGATGAACAGATGGATGACGGCTCTGCTTTCTAGGAAGATGGATGGATGGATGGATGGATGGACGGACAATGGCTCTGCTTTCTAGGAAGATGGATGGATGGATGGATGGATGGATGGATGGATGGATGGATGGAATAATGGATGGACGGATGAACAGATGGATGGACGACTCTGCTTTCTAGGAAGATGGATGGATGGGTGGATGGATGGAATAATGGATGGACAGATGGAGGATGGATGGATGGATGGATGGATGGATGGATGGAATAATGGACGGACAGAAAGGGGGGGCGAGGGTGGAGGCAGCAGCCTGCAGACTCCAGTGTTCTCCCTGAAGTTTCCCTAGTAGATGGGCAGTGCCCGCTGGAGGCAGGTGGGGCAGCAGAAGCAGGAGACACTGAGGCTGCCCTTGAACTTGTGTCTTCTCCCTCTCCAGGTCGCATAAATGTCAAGAATGAGGAGCTGGAAGCCATGGTGAAGGAAGCTCCAGGGCCCATCAACTTCACAGTCTTCCTGACCATGTTTGGGGAGAAACTCAAGGGTGAGTGAGGATTGTGGGGGCCCAGGGGAGGGCTGGGAGCGGGAAATAGATACACCCACCCGCTTGGCCCTTATGTTATATAACCACGGATGGAAACATGGTAAGATTCCCAGATACTGTCCCCTGGCTGTACACATTGGCCCGGACCCTGCCTCAGTTTCCACCTCTGTGTGCACAGTGGAGAGCGCTGTGATTGACCCCTCCCTTGTGATCCTTCTGCCCAAGTCAGGACAATACCCACCCACCCACTTCTACTCCAAGTTCCCCTTTCTACCTGTCAGATCTGTCATCCTCCTGTTCTAATCCCGCCCCACCTGGGATCAACTTGTGGCTGACCCCACTGCTAGGCTTGTCTTGTTCTGTTCTTGAGTCACTGTGGTCTCCACGGAAAAAAGTAGGGAGCTCTTCTCAGTGTTGAGGAGTCGGAGGACGTTCACTGAGTTTGTGGTGCCTGCCCCTGGTACCCCAGCAAAAGAAAAGTTGAATAGATCCAGTTCTACCTGCTCCATATTCTTGAGACACAGCTCCAGGTCTGGGGATAGAAGGTGGGTCATCTCTGACCTTTGGCTCTGGGAACTCTCCTGCAAACACATCCCTGAGCTCAGGGGTGGTGGAATGGGACACCCTGGGCTATGGCTGCCCCTAAACTTTAGCAATAAGATCTGGCCTCCCTCACAGAGTGAGGCAGTGAGAATGAGTGGGCTAATTTGTGTTCTGTATTTTAGTAGAGCCCCTGCCTAGCATATTCACTCAGAGCTGGGGTGTGGCTCAGTGGTAGAGACCCTGCCTAGAATCCCCCAGTGAGGGGCTGGGGTGTGGCTCAGTGGGAGAGCCGGAGGATGGTGTCTCTAGCCCTGGGTGACCTATGTACTGAAGATGAACAGTAGTTCATTTATGGCCTCTTTTGGGTGCTCACAGAAAGGGGCACCACTTTCAGCTGCGATGACCTGTTTTACAGACAAGAGATTGAGGCACGAGGCTCACTTAGTCTGTGGCTAAGTCAGACTGACGACCGAAGCCCTGCTGGGGACCTCGAACTGCATCTTGTTCTCATCTTTGCTGGGGTTCCAGGCCTGGGGCTCCAGCTGGGCCTGTCATGCAAACTTGTCTAGGGCTGCGTGAGAGGCTGGCAGCAGGGAGGGCAGTGGGCTGGGACGGGCACCATCGCAGCCGCAGCCGTTAATTGAGACAAGGAGATGGTCCTTTGACTGCCCACAATGGCAGGGAGCCACCACACAGGGCTTTTTATGGGTCTCCCAGGCCTCAGAGAAGAGGCCCTCTCTGGGGACAAGGCAGGGAGTGGCTGGCTGACTGAGGTGAGTGTCCCACAGCCAGGCCAGAGCTAACAAGATCCAACACTTGGTCCCCAGGAAGATGATGGGGGCCAACTGTGGACCTGTTCCAACTTCCCTGACTCTTTAGAGGGACACGGGGTTTAGCTAATTGATAGATTTGGGAAGCGGTGGCCTTGGAGGCTGGGACTCCAGCCAGCCCCTATCAGCATCCCTGCACCTCTCTACCTTCAAGCTATCCTCGACTCTGCTGCTAAGCCCACCTGGGATGGACTCACTGGCTCTAGTTATTATTCAGAGGGGACCAAGCCCTTATTCCCAGGTGACAGCCTGAGAGAGAAGACACACAAGGCTCTGACCCATTCTGATAGGGGACACACTCATCGGCCTGGCACATTCTTACAGGAGAGAGACACAGGTCCCTCATGCAGTCTGATGAGGGAGGCACAGAGCCCTGACTTAGTCTAATGGAGGAGACACAGACAGGCCTGATTCATTCTGATAGGGGAAATAAGTGGGCTCTGCCCCGGTCTGATGGGGAGACCCAGAGAGCTCTATGTCCATCTGGTGAAGCCCAGGCTTGGAGCTGGGCTTAGAGCGGGGATGGATTGGTAGCTCTGATTCACTGACTTTATTAAAGTCTATCCGCTAAGCTGTGTGGTGGCACATACCTGAAATCCCAGTACTTGGGAGGAGGGAAGCAGGAACATCAGGAGTTCAAAGCCAACCTCAGCTATACAGCAAGTTCTAGACCAGCCTGGGCTAGATGGCCTGTAGTCAAAAACAAAACAAAACAAAAAACCCCACCACAATAAAAAAAAAAAAACAACAGCAGAGCAAAACAAAATAAAATTCCAGGCCATTAGCAGTGACCAGCAAGCTGGTCCTGTATGTAGTGTGATAAAAAGACCTTTGACCTCTTGGCAGTGCAGAGCCTTCATGGAGGGAAGGGCTTTCCAGGTCCACTCTGAGCCAGGGTGGACCAGCATGATAAAGGCCTGACCAAGGATGTCAGGGCACCTTGTTGCTATCCAGGTAAACCCTGAGCCACACCCCAGCCCCTCACTGGGGGATTCTAGGCAGTGTCTCTACCACTAAACCATGCCTCCAGCCTCAGATTCATTTATTTTGGTAACAACTTTCTTCAAAGCCACAAATGTGGTACAAGAGAAACTGAAGAGCCTGGCGGTTTTACAGAAACCTAGGTGCACTGCGTACATTTAGTTGCAAACAGCCTGCTCCATTGCACATAGATTCCCTGGCAGAACATTTACTGCAGAGCATTCGCTGTGCTCCTCACTCTCCTGAAAGTGGCCCCCATTTCACAGATGAAGAAACTGAAGCCCAGGGAGGTCAGGTGACTTGTCCAAGGTCTGAGAGCTGATACAGTTGAATGACCAGTGAGGTCTGGGGGTGAGGGAGCAGCAACCATGAGATTCAGTCTCGACTCAAGTTGTGCGCAGAGGCTGCAAGTTAAGGGAAAAGGACCTCTGATCGTGGGGCTGAGGTTGGGCTTCATTGGTGAGGTCTTCAAGATCGGGTCACCCGAGGTAGAGAGGTGGCCCATGGGCTGGGTGACAATACAGCCGGAATTGTTCCTCTTGTGCCACTTCTGTGGCTTTGAAGGAAATTGTTACTGAAATAAATGATTCAGAGTCTGTGGGGTGTGGCTCAGTGATAGAGCCGCTGCCTAGAACCCCCCTAGCGAGGAGCTGTGGGTGTGGCTCAGTGGAAGTTGGGGTCGTTGCCCCTTTTTCCTGCTCAGCTTGGCACCACCTCTGAGAGGCCCTCACTACCCTTTTGTTCTCCCTGTCCTGTATCTGCGATCTCTAGGCACGGACCCAGAGGAGACCATACTGCATGCCTTCAAAGTGTTTGACACGGAAGGAAAAGGCTTTGTCAAGGCTGACTTGTAAGTTCTCAGCTGAGGCATGCCAGAGTGGATGTCAGGCCTGCCTCGTTCCCCCTCAGAACTCCCCTGAGCAGGGTTAACATCCATCCAGTGGCTAGAGGCCACAGCCAGGCCAGCACAGCTCCCTCCCTCCCAGGCCTTGGTGCCCCCGTCTCTCTGTGTGTGAGTGGATGGGCAGTGTGGCATGGGCCAAGGAATGCTTCTGAGTGTTGGGGATGGAGAAGAGTGGGGGCCTTGAAGGATGCGTACAGGTTGTCCAGTGTAGGGCAGGAATGGCATTTCAGATGTGAGAAGAGAGCATGAATCCCGGCTTAGTGTGCTTGGACTACTAAAGTGGCCTGGGGGGAGGAGTAGCCTGGAGCCTGGAAGAAGCAGAGTGGGGGCTATGGCCCGTGGATATGGGGGTGGAATGGGAAGGTCTGGACAGCAAAGATCCAAAAGCCAGGGCCAGTGGAACACCGAGCTCGAGGAGAGGACAGTGCCAGATGGGGACATCAGGGCCCAGCTCAGCTTGGGACGCCTGGGTAAAAAGTGTCCATGGGAAGCTGTTCTGCAGGCCATCGGGCTGCCATCACAGAGGTGGATTCAGCTGTGGTGGCCTGTGCCGCACACACACAGGAGGCACAAAGAGCCAAGGTCAGGCTCCCTGGAAAGTGGGTTAACCTCCAAGCTGTCCCTTCCAAACCTGGCTGGTGAGATGGCCCCTCCTTAGCCAGGATAGACGGGTACCCAGTGACAGCCATTCTTTAGGAGTTCAGGTGTTGATGGGTCTGGCCATTCACAGGAGCTTCCCCCAGCAGGGTGGAGGAGAGGGCAGATAAAGTCTGGTGGAGACACACGTGCTCGTCCCTTCTTATATACTGTCTGCAGAGGCTCTGAGTCAGGCTTCCTGGAGTGCAGAGGGACTACCAAGGGCACATCAAACCAAAACCCTATCTTTGGGATCTGTGGCTCATACTTGACTCTAGAGGAGCCAGGAAAAACCCTTGGCATGACTGGGACTCCCAGGAATATGAAGATAGCACTGAGGTGGGCGAGTTGAAGGGGCACTCATTCTGGCAATGGAAGGAACAGTCCTGGTCTGTGGGGACATAGAACACAGGGCTGCTGGCCAGACAGGCCACAGAAGTGGATCTGGTTGAAACAGAGTCTCTGCAGAGTCCCTCGCTTTGGCAACCTGGAAACTGTGACTGTCCCATAGTAACAAACAATGGAAAATGTGTGTTGCTCCCTAACCAGGCAGGGCCTGCCACCGCCGGCGCCGGAGCATGTCCTGAGAGCAGAGGCTCTGCTGAGCTCTCTGATCCCATGCTTGCTCACAGAGCCGCCTGAAGCTTGCAGGCCCCTTCTCAGTTCTCATGCAGAACTGGGTGCTGGCCCCACCTCCAGTAATTTCCCCCCTGGATCCCAAGGAGACAGCCCCAACCCTGACACATCCTCCCTCTGGGATGGCAGGCAGATTGGAAGCCCTCCCAAGCTTCGGTTTTCCCTAGATAAAGGGGATTCTTGCACTAGTAGCCGAGGAATCAAGTTCTAAAGAGACCCATGGGAAGACTGGGCTGCAACTTCCCGTGATGCTCTTGTACGTGTGACGTAGTCTGGGAAATGCTGGTCAACTGACAGCCAAAACAAGCTGGAAGAGGCACCAAGGAGAAGCCAAGGTAGGGCCAGGCTGGTCGTCCCAGCTACTCTGAGGTAGGAGAGGCAGGGCCAGACAGAATGAGTTCAAGACCGGCCTGGGAAACTTAGTGAGTCGTCTCAAATCAGAAAGTAAAGAGAAACCAGGTGGTGGTAGTGCAAGCCTTTAATCCCAGCACTCGGGAGGCAGAGATAGGCAGATCTCAGAGTTTGAAGCCAGCCTGGTCTACAGAGTGAGTTCTAGGACGTCCAGGGTTACACAGAGAAATGCTTTATTGAAACAAACAGCAAAAACAACAACAGAAAGCGAAGAAAGAAAAAGGAAGAAGAGAAAAGAATAAAGACAAAGCAAAGAAGACCGGGGACATAATTTGAGGGTAGAGAATCTACCTCGAGTGATCCAGTGAGGGGTTGGGGTGTGGCTCAGTGGTAGAGCACCTGCCTAGAACCCCCCAGTGAGGGGCAGTAGAGCATTCCCCTAACATGGCCCAGGTCCTGGGTTCCGTCCCTTGATAAAAGACAAAGGAGTCCGCGCCCCGCCCCCCCCAGCAGTCTAGGTTGATGGTTAGCAAACCCTGGGCATTTCAGTGGCCTTCAGGTCATGTTGGAGTCTCAAAATTATTTCCTTCTGTCCCCCATGGTTGCTAGAAGAGTACAGGTTGCCAGAGAAGCAGTTAGGACTTAAAGAGATGCTTTGGGGCTGGGAGAATCAGCCCTAGGCTGGGGTCCCCTAGGCCAGAGCTCCCCTAGGAACCTCGTGGCCACGTGGCCACCGGGCAGCTCTTCCACAAGACCTGATGGCTTCTCTCCACCACCAGCATTAAGGAAAAGCTCATGACCCAGGCTGACCGCTTCAGTGAGGAGGAGGTACGTGTGGGCTTTGAGGGGATTCCTATAGATTTCCTGCTCGGATTCCTCTTTCTTCCATCTTCCCCATCCAACCTGACACTCTGCTCCCTCTCCCAGGTCAAGCAGATGTTTGCAGCTTTCCCACCCGATGTCTGTGGCAACTTAGACTACAGGAATCTGTGCTATGTCATCACACACGGCGAGGAGAAGGACTAGAAGACGCCCCTCCTCCGTACCTGGAGTCAGCCAAGATTGGCTGGGTGGGGGGACCAGCGCGTGGCTCCCGTTGCTAGTGTGTGCAGGGAAAACAGTCTCCATCACCCCCGGAGCCCAGGGCTGAAGTGGGAATAAATAGCACAGAGATGTCCATCTGGGTGATGTTTGCGTGGTTAGTGCTCTGGTCGGGAAGACAGTGAAACATTCCCCTCCTTGCTAGTTTTTCCAAAACGTTTGGGCCTCTAGTTCTGCTCAGCTGTTCCTGATGAGCTGGGTTTAGAAGTAATGGATGGTTTTAATGCCCCCCATCTGGCCCACAGGGCATTGTCTTCGTTGATGGGGGTTTTATTGAGCACCTAGCGTCTGTGAGGCGCCTGCATGAGACAGGGTTGCTCATGTGCAGTAGGGTCATGAGGACCACGGGGAGAAAGATCCTCAGATGGACCAAAGCTGGGATACGAGTGGGGAGGAGGGTGGGATAGAAAGGGAGACACGAGGCAGAAGTAGGGGGCACAGGCAGAGTTGGAGAGGAGGAGAGATCCACGCGGAGACATTTAAAGGGTAGGCGGAGAACTCTCCATCCTCACACATGGCATTGAAGACGGACTAGCCCAGGCTAGAGGGGACTTCGCTGTGATTAGAAATGCCTGCCCACCAAAGACACCACCAAGAATGCAAAGAGATCAGGCAGAGGCCCGGAGATTCTGGGGGCACATAGATTTTGACCAAGGCCTCGTATCTCTCCCATCCCCACCGTGTGTGTGTGTGTGTGTGTATGTTATTTTTAACCCTGCATAGTAACAATGAAAAACATCATAGTTATTTTAAAAAATTAATTTAGTATATGTATGTATGTATGTATGTAAGTAAGCATACATGTAGAAGTCACAGAGGACACGTGGGGCATTGGCACTCTCCTTCCACCATCTGGGTGCTGGTACTCAAACTGAGGTCTCAAACTTGGCAGCAAGTGCCTTCACATGCTAAGCCATCTCCCTGGCTCCCTACTTCCTACTTTTTTTGCCCCTGTAACAAGACAGCTGAGAAACCAACTTCCGGGGGGAAGGATTTATGTTGACACACACATTCAGAGTGTTCGGCCCAAAGTGACTGCAAGTTTGAGGCTGACCAGGCCTATGGGATCCTGTCTCCAATAAACAAAACAATAGGAGAGGAAGAGCGAGGAGAGAGAGAGAGGGGGGGGGGGAGGGAGACAAGGAAGAAAGAGAGAGGAGGAAGAGAGGGACTGATGGATAGTCAGACAGACAGACTTAGGAAGTATGCAGCCCTTAACCTTCTCACCCCTCAGGGTAGGGGATGAGGGGGGGTTCCCCCATCAGTCTGCATATCCTGGCCTGGGTACCAGCGGACTGTCCACTAGAGGAGGCCAAGGCTTCTAGAAGAGTCCTTGCTTTCTAAGACTGGCTTTCCTGGAAATCGTGAGCTGAGCGCTGTCGATGCCACTGAAGACTTGTCAGACCTGTTTGTCCCATAGAAGGAAACAGGGACAGGGCTACAGGGAGTGGGTGCCTCATGTAACTTCTGACTCCCCTTCCTTGAGATTCCGGCTCCCTGACAGCAGGGCCTGCCATCCTGCAGGGGCCCTGGATCACTAGGGATGCTGGGCAGCCAGTGTAGAGGTCGAAGGGATTCCACAGGTTAGAGAGGAGGTGTATGTGGGGAGGGCACTCACCTTCCTCCTTCCTCTTCTTCATCTGTTTACAGTACAAAGTGCAGTGGTCATCAATAACACCTGTTGAACTGTGTGAGCTCTTGAGGAACTTAGTAAGACCCTCACAATGCAGGGAGTTGTTGCTCAGTGGGAGATTGCCTGCCTAGAATCCCCCAGTGAGAGGCTGGGGTGTGGCTCAGTGGTAGAGCCCCTGCCTAGAATCCCCCAGTGAGGGGCTGGGGTATGACTCAGTGGTAGAGCCCCTGCCTGGTAAGCTTGAAACCCTGGGTTCAGTCCTCAATTCTGCAAAACAACAGCACAAACAGTTTAAGAACTTTCTGGACTCCTACTTTTCCTGTTCCTTCCTCTGGACACCCGGTCTTTGCTCGTGGCGACTCCTCTGTTTGGAACTCTCTCTCTGTTACTCCAACCTGGCTATGGCCTCAGCGCAGTGACACGGGCTTAAATCCCAGACACAAGTCTCTTTCAGAATACCTGATACTCAAGCATTCGTATTATTACTTGTGTGTGTGTTCATGTCCACACACCCGTTTGCTTGCTCCTGTGTAGTTCAGAGGACAGCTTATGTGGGTTGTTTTCCTCCTCTGGGATAGAACGCAAGTTGTCAGGCCCATGAGCAGCACTTTTCCCCACTGAGCCTAGCTGGTCCGCCAGGTATTCTTGCTGGGAATTGTAGGTCCAAAAGAGTGGGATTCAGCTAGGGTTTTGCTCACCACAATGTCCCTAGACCCCTGCAGTAGACCTGGTGTACAGTGGAGTCAAAGTTCACCAACTCACGGGGCAGTGGTGGCGTACGCCTTTAATCCCAGCACTCGGGAGGCAGAGGCAGGCAGATTTCTGTGAGTTCGAGACCAGTCTGGTCTACAAGAGCTAGTTCTAGGACAGACTCCAAAGCTACAGAGAAACCCTGTCTCAAAAAACAAAAACAGCAACAACAAAAAAAGTCCGCCCAACTCTAAGATCCCCAGAGAATCAGCCTGAAGCCCCAAGTCTGATGGAGACCACTCTATGTGGCCAGACCTGGTACTGTATTTTATTTCAGGACTGGACCCTCCCTAGGCCTCCACCAAGCTTTCCTGACCAGTCTAGTCTTCAGTCTCCCCATAAGAAGATTGGACTCAGGTGTCCCTTGGCATCTTAGGGACAATCAAAGACCATTTTTCCAGTTTCCAGTTTTCTTACAAACTGGCCAAACTGGATTTCCTAGCATGCTTGGTAAACCCTGACCAGGTAGGTGATGGGCTACAAGCCCAGGCAGGTCTTCGGGTCCCCAGAGAGCTGGGGCAGGGAGCTGGCCCTGCCTGGGCCCTCAGCCGGCTCCCCCAAGCAGCTGTATCTCATTGAGGGTAATTAGCCCAGCCAGACGCCTGGCTCTTGGCCTCTCATTTTCCACTCAGGATCCATCCGCCGGGGGGGGGGGGGGGGCGCTTCGGACAGTGACCCCCACCTATAAATCAAGAGGGGGTCGCTGTTAAAAGAATGGGGACATTCTTTCCACCAGTGTGGCTGGCTAAATTGCCTCCAAGAGCAGATTCTATCCTGGAACCCACTCAAGAATGGTCAAGGCCTTTGAAGGCCCTTCCAGGATGAACCCCAGGGGTTTGAAGCTGGCTGAGCAAGCGGGAGTCTCTCTGGGGCCTTTGCTGACTACGGAAGGTTGGGGCCTAAGGACAGAGGGATAACAAGGTAGAAGAGGGACAGACCTTGCTTGACATGAGACACCTCCATTATGGGGTCGCCATAGCAACTTTGGAGGAGACTACATCTCTATATTTTTGATGGTATAGGAGATGGAATTGGGAGTCTCTAAGTACTAGGCTCTATCATAGCTCAAAGAAAGTGCTCTGTCATTGAGCCACACCCCAGCCCCTCACTGGGGATTCTAAGCAGGTGCTCTACCACTGAGCCACACCCCAGCCTCTCACTGGGGATTCTAGGCCAGTGGTCTATCAGGGAGCCATGCCCAGCATTGGCTGGGGCACACAGGCTTTCTACCACTACCTCTCTCTCTCTCTCTCTCTCTCTCTCTCTCTCTCTCTCTCTCTCTCTCTCTCTTTCTGTGCCTGGGCTGCATGATGAAAACCTATTTCAAAATAAACAAGTTTAAAAGCTAAGTAAATGTAGGGCTAGGAGCTCATCTCCGTGGAAGGACATCGAGGACCCTGGCTTTGCTCACCATCACTTCAAAAAAGAAATAAATTAAAGCAAAGCAAATGTACACCCACAGGTTGATGTTAGTAAAAAGACGGGTGTATTTTTAGTGATAATCAAAAATCGTGGAAGTGGAATGAGGATCACTGAGGTTTTTGTCAGTGAGTTCCAGAGAAGAGGTCCTAGAGAGACTGTGTTAAAGGAGACCGCTTTAGGATTTTCTGGAATACTGATCCCAGAACTGTCATTCTCTTTCCACTGAATCAGCTTTTTAGTCTTGACCCTGAATTTTGTTTCTCTTTTCTTTTTTTTTTTAAAGATTTGTTTCTACTTTTGTTATGTATGTGCATGTGTGTGTGCATGGGTGTGCATGTGTGTATGTGTGTGTGTGCGCGCACACACGCACATGCACATGAGGACGCTGTTATGGGTGCTGAGAACTAAACTTGGGTCCTATGGAAGCGAACTAGATACACTTAGCCACCAAGTCGTCTTTCCAGCTCATTGATCCCAGTTTCTTTCAGCAGTTAAGTTGATCCTGAACCCCGCAGGGGCAGGTCGGAGCTGGGAAGCGTGGCTGCTTACAGGCAGACAGAAAGAGGAACTCCAGCTTATCTGGAGCTTGCGGTCTGGCGCCATCATAAACCCATAGTTAATCTTCCTGGAAGCTAAACTTCTTGGTGACTTAAGTACCTGCTCAGGGCCACCGAGAGGGACATTCTGCACTTGACACCTGGCTGTTTCTTGAAGTTTTCTGAGGCCACGCTCACCAACAGCACCAGCACCCCATAGCCTTTCCTGGCTTGCTGTGGCTCTGGCTCCCTCATGTTGACCCCAGCTGGCTGGGGAGTGAAGAAGGGACTGGGTCCAGCGGCCTGGCAGTGGTGTTGCAGGGCTCATGCAAACCCTTGTCTTTATATCTTTGACTTGCCTGGACTGAGCCCGGCTCAGTTGCCTCAGAAGGCAAGGCTGTATTGATGGTCAGGTAGGGAAACAACCCTCGGACAGTTCTGACACTCCTTAAACAGTAAGATAAAGGCCCTTAGCACCTTTCCACGATCCAGCTACTATCATGGAGTCCACAGCAGGCAGGGACAGAAAGACACACACAGTGGCTGAGGACCAAGGCTCAGAAGCCAACTCAAGACCCAGCTGCCGGCCTCCCGCATTCTTACTCAAGACCTGCTATCTGGGTGTTGGATGCTAATGTCTGTGTTTGGAGAGGGTGGGGCATTGGGACCCAGACTTCTT